TGACTGAGCACCCGCGGGTGGCCGGTGGCAAAACAGGATGCACAAATTTAATAACTTCTGTAATCTTTAGTTACTGTACCTCAGCACCTCGCCAAAAGCATGTGTGCTGTTTTTACTACTAAATTTCTTCAGTCTTCCATGCTATTTGTTGAAACCACGTAGGTAACTGTATATCGTCAAACATAATAGAGAGATGTGTTCATGCACCAGCATATGTCTCATCTCCCAACCTTTCCAGACTGTAGTTAGTAAAAATTTCTGGCTTCATATATGGTCTTTGGATCTCTGTCCTCATTCACTGAGTTCTCCCACCATCTTATGTGCGTTATTGCATATACCAGGGAGAGGGGGGAGCTTTGAACAGAGCCATAAAAACTCTGTCTTGCATGGCATGGTTTCAGTGATACAATGTGCCCAAATTTGCTGCTGAAAGATTTCTTGGGGAATTCATAGTCCCTGTAGTGTATAACTTCTGTCTCATTCCACACTTCCTTCAGCTTGAATGACTCACACACTGACAAAAACCAAGGGAAACCATTTTGACCTTTAATTTCCCAAAATGCTGACTACCACAAGGAAGTAAAAAAACAATGTGATGGAGAAGTGACTTTCACATTTTTCCATTCGCTGTTTTAACGAGCAGTACTCCACAGCAGTAAAACAATTTGCACAGGACTATAAAAGAAACAGTTGCTCAACTCTGATGAAGTGTAACTAATTTTTTTTTTTTTTGTGACCTTGGCTCTGTTTCATGCTGATGAGGTCGGTCATCGTGGGCTTTACTCAGGTATGGATGAGTGCCTGCGGTGTGTTTGAACAGTGCATACTGGAGAGCAGCAAGTGTGTCCCTGCAACACACACACCCACAGCCTTTCTGCCTGCTGTGTCCGTAGGAACTCCAATACTCTGATTTTCACCGTGTGGGTGCTCCCGTGCAGACCCTGTGGTTTTTTTTGTTTTTTTTTTTAATGATGTGTGATGTGGTGAGCAAACCCTAGACCGTCTGCAGACAATTTTTAAGGAGCTCATGAAAGTAAAGCAGAAAAGAAAACTTACTGTCACTAGATTTATATTCATTATAAGGTGGTTTTGCCCCTCCCTGAAAAAAAATCTAACGAATAGAACATTTCAGACTTTGAAAAATCACCAAAAGCTATTAAGGCCCCACTGTCTTGGTTGACTCAAATCTGAGTTGATGGTCAAATTGCCCCTGATTCTAAGAAGATTATCAGTTTCCTTATTTTCGTATACATTAAATGATCCCCTATACAAAGGTCTACATGGTGCAACTTACTCCACCTTCCAGGAACTGATTTACAGTAAATCCCAGGTGAGTAATCCAAGCTCCAGAGTCAAAAATGCAAAAGTAAATTGAACCGTGTGCGAGAATCATTGTTCCTGGTCTCAGATAAGTGTGTGTGTGTGTGTATATATATATATATATGTACACATATATATACTGGCCTTCAAGGTTGATACCCCAAGGTTTACAACATTCACAGAGGGAAAAAAAAGCCCTTGAGATAAGGTGCCCGTGGGGCAGGCATTGCTGCTGCAGGCAGGTCCTGCGAGGGTGGTATTCATCTCTGGTTCTGACCGTACCTGTCTCGGTATGCTGGGATCCAGCATCTCGCTTCCTATGCTCTTCTCCCTCCTGCGTTGTTTGTACAGAGCTAACAGTAGCTATCAGCTTAATATACAACACCTTGTAAAGAGAAGTCATCTGGGTGTGTGTAGAGCTTTTTTAAGTTGAAAGCAGTTACATGAGCTGTAAATCATACCTCTTGCCATGTGAAGAACCATGCTGTGCGCTCAGAGGAGATCTGGCTGGGAGGTGAAGCCAGAGCAGCTGTCATTTGTATGCCCAGACATCCCTGTACCCCTCCTGGTAGTTCCTGCATGCCGATCATCAGCCTTTGTACGGTGTCTGAGTCAGCGGGGTGCAGGGCTTCTGAACTGGTGGTCAACTACAGTTGAAACACACCAACCTGGATATGCCAGCTTTCATTTTTATTTACTTGGGTACTCCTGTTGGGAATCATACAAAGTGCAGATGATGTATGACCAAAGCAAATATGGGGAGTTTCCTGGTATCAGTATGCCAAAAAGGAGTCTTAAAAAAAAAAAAAAAGGAAGATTGCCAAAAGCTGGTATAAATCACTTTAATTAAAATCTTCAAATATAAAAGTCACAAGCATTGGAATAAATAAAACTGTTAGAAAAGTTCTAAAAGAAAGCTACCAGGCACACAATAACTTTGATGTCTTAGTTGTTACTTACATTATAATAATAATATATTAACAACTTTATGTTGACTGTATGTAAGACTTTCCACTCCATTTTATGCTCTCTTTACTTCTTTTATTGAACTTGGACAATGTAAACAAACTTAGCCTTCCTTATTCTCATTTCTGATCTATATTACCCTCTGATATATGACCCTTCACAGAATGCGTCTGTGCTGTGGATACAAACACTCCTTTGACACACTGGAACTTAAATACAACCTTTCTATTGTGCAATATTTCATCACAGCTTCAAAAATACATCTGTTTTTAAAGTCTTATTAAAAAAGACACTGCGTTGAAACCTCATGTAGCTGGTAGCATCCTTCTAAAACTTAAAAAGAGAAATACAGTGGTGGGGTAGTGGTAGTTTCCCCTGCTGTGCTCAAAATATCATGAGGTGTTGACAGTGTCACGGGTTATATATATCTTCAAGTAGATGCAAATCAACACGTGCAGGAGACCACAGGTATTCTCCGGGGTGCTTTGCTACCCTGCAGATCGGCGGCCTGCGTGCCAGAGGAACGTGGGGGGCAGCACACCGAACCGAACCAAACCGCAGCAGGGTGTGCACGGGGAAGGCACGGCTGGGGAGAAAAGCCACCGCCAGCACAGATTTCTGGCCAAAACGGCTGTTTCCCCAGCAGGAGGGATGTCAGCCTGGCCGGGCAGGTTTGTCCCCAGGATACGGTTAAGGCCACTGAAGTCCCTCTCATGGTCGAGGTGTGGGTGGTTTGCTCAGTCTCTTTACTCTCCAGTTTCCTCAAGGACAGAAGAGACCTGAGCGAGTTAAGGAGCATAAAGCAGGGCTTCACCTGCAGATAGGTTCAGGGAAGTCCTTTCCAGCTGAACCACCTGCAGGGTGGTGAATGTTAAGGAGTTGTGAGCCCTTGCCATGCACCCACTGACTGCGGACGGTTTGCCTGGGCGCTGGTGGGCTCCTCTCCTTTCTTCCTGGGGATGAAGTGTGTGAGGGCAGAGGTAGACCACCCTGCAGGAACAGCCTCATTTCGCGTGTCAAAAACTCACCGTTGGAAAGCACGTGGCTACAGCTCCATCTTGTGACCGAACTAGTTTGGGAAAAACGTGCCGTGCTGCCCCAGATCCCACGGAGGACCTGGTTTCCTGGGCAAGACGTTTTCCCCTGCAGGCACCCCAACCTTGGTTTGCTTTGTGTGTCCCTGCTTTAGACCCTGAGATGACTTCAGCAACCACCCTTCCTTGGGCTTCCCCACATGGTTGCAGGCAAAATCACAGCCATACAGCTAAAATAAAAACCCTGCTCATCCTTTCTGAAGGCAAGATTTTGAAGGAACTGCTTTAAGAGCTGTGCTTGCAGAAACGAGAGGGAGAGGGGATGTTGTAGTTGGCAGAGCCCCGAGTGCAGCATGAGAAGCTGATGGAGCTCCACGCATGGTGTGGAGAAGGGCCCCGCACTCGAGTGCAGCAACCCTGGCTTCACCCAGAGCAAAACCAGCCCCTGCCTGGGCTTGATCTACCTGGATAATTCTCCCAGGAGCTTAACGAGCATCTTTCATGAAGAAATTATCCAGTGGGACCTCATGGTTTCCCAGCCCAGAGATTGTAGCAGTGCCGTTACATTTGCATCCCTTGATAGAATTAAATCTCATGGTAGAAACGTGAATTTCTAGGATTAAACTTCCCTACTAGCCAAGTGCTTTACATTTATCCTGCGTGTGTATTAACCATTTAAATGCAAGCAATAGCTTTGGCATTTTTGATAACATAAAAGCCGTAAGTGAAGGCTGGAAGGCCAAGTACGCTGCCGGGACCAAGGGGTTTTTCGATAAGCTCTGGCAGCGTTTTGTCATCCACCATCCGTAGCACACGGCCGTTCAGCTCAATAGACCTGGAGGGGGACAGAGAGACTGTTTGGGCAGCTGTGCTCTGTTTGTCATCGAGCACAAACAGCTCTGGACCGAAGTGTAAACATAAACTCAGCCCGAAGCCAAACTAATCTTCACTTAAAGGTTTATGTGTGCTGCACTCTCTCTGCAAGGAGTCCTTTAGAGTCGTAGCACAAGCAACTTGAAAAGTACACTTTTCTTTCTCTCCTAGTGAGGTTAACAGCAGCACAGGCTTTGAAAAGTACAAATTTTAGTTGTTTTTTCTCCTGCAAATATTAAGGTATCTTCTACGCCCACAGAGCAGATCCTTCCCGTGCCAATGCATTAGTGGTAACAACAAAAGAAACCATACAAAGCCTGAACACGTTTACTGTAAATCGGGAGCCAGCACTTGGGAAACCAATATATTTGTGCTTGTGCAAAAGAAAAAGCACTTTAGCAGCTGGTCCAGAGCCTTGAAGCCTGCTAGGAAAAAGCTTCCCAATTAACATCAAACAAGTATTCTTGTACCTTAGCAAGCTTTCAGCAGTCTGATTTTAGGAGATCTGATTTAACAGGGGTCAGACCTTACTGAAAAAAACCCCAGATGACTGAATGGCAACCTCTTCCTCCCCATCACAACCTTGCAAATTGAACAAGGTGAGGTTTTAGAGGCCACCTAGCTCTACTCACAATCCTTTCCACAGAGACAGGAGGAACTGCACACTTACCTGGAAAGTATATTCTCTTTGCCATGAGGCAGTAAGAGGTACTGATCCACGTGCTTGCTCAATAAGTAATTGGGTAGCTGCAAATGCTGGGTGACGTTGTAGAGGTTTAAGGCAAACAGTGTCACATCCCCTTCTCTGTACTTTGGGCTGCAAAGCAAGAGAAGATGAGGGTGGGGATCAGGAGAGAAAGAGGTTTCAGAGAAATAACATGCATCCTTACGCTGTCCCAAATTGCTTTTGTTGGCCTAGGGCCAACCATGGGCTCAATTTCTGGGATATTTCACCCTTTCTGGCGGCTTACTGGAGGGCATTCGTGCAGTGGAGGTAGACACGGAGCCTCCTCTTGTCGGCTCCCGCCAGGCTGACCTGCAGCACCCTGGTACCCACCAGCTTCTTGTAGAGCAGCGAGAGCCAGTAGTCCTGGGAGGCACAAAACCACACATAATTACTTGTGTACATGCCAGGTACTCCACATGGTGCTTAACATAATGTTCATTTTGCTGGTAATTTCAGGGGGTTTTCCCCCATAATTTTTTGCTTTACCAAGTTTTTCACCATATCTATTTAAATTCCCACAAACAGCATAGCTGAAGAGAAAACCCTGCCTCCAAGCTGCAGAGCAGCTGTGTTGACAAGGTACCTTGGAGTCATTTTCCCCTTCACATGTGAATCTCAGAGCTCTTTCTGTGGAGGAGAAACTGTTTGCATTTTGGAAACGCCTTTCTGCAGGGTACAGAGCACCTCAGGGCTGAACCTGCAGGGATGAGCTGCCCTTCCTGCAGGAAAGCCTGTGCCCGATCCACAGCACAATGCCCAGAAGCAGCCCCTGGAACTAACATCGTGCCTTTGAACAGATCTCAGGATGAATTTCTGAACGCCAGTCAAGAGTGAATCCTCTGATGCCCCAGGACGATGCCTGAGAGCAGAGTGAAGCCTAGTGCGGACTTTTTTTTTTTTCCAGGTCTGCTTTTTCTTGCATCTTGATTGCTACTTTTCCTCTATGAAGTCCATGATCGTACCAAAGAGAATGTGTGGTCTGTGCAGATGTGTTTTGGGACTAGGAGGCCACAGACAGGCTGCATTTTTCAGTATTGCTTCTTTGGGTGCAGCCCCAGGGGAGGATGTGCTCCAGCTGACGGGTTTCAGAGAGCTTCTCCCAGCTCATGTCTGTCTGTCTTTGAGGTTTTTCTAGAAGGAAAACTGTCATGTTTCTGTCCTGACTCACCACAAACCCAGGAAAGTGACTTTTCCTATCAGCCTACGTGCTCAGTCCCTCTGCAAGGAGGTGCAGCCTCCTGACGCTGCTGTGCTGCGTCATTTCCATGCTAACTAAAACCGGTGGACCTGGGTTTGGATTTCCCTGCCTCTAAAGCATTATTAGCTTGATTAGCATCTGTACTGCCTGTAGGTGAGGAACAAGGCATATCCTTTTAGTTCGAATTAAATCTATTTAAAATGAGGGGATAAGAAGCCCAAAGCAACAAGCCTGACGATGCAGCCCCTGGCATAGGGACCAGCTGAACAGGCAGGAGAGAAAACCCCTGTACGCTGGGTTTTCTCTCAGACAGTCTCTATGAGCCTGTGAAAATCACAACCTGGAAGCAGAAAAATGAGAGGAAAGCTAAAGAGAAAGACGCTATCCTCTCACCTCTCACTCCAAGGTAAGCGCTACTAGCACAAAGAAACATGCTGTACATGCAAGAACAACCTGTAGTTCAAATAATGATGTTTCATCGCAGCAGAATGTTATTTCCTGATAAATCCAACTATACTAAATGCATGTTTTCATCTAATTATCCTTCAGCCACTACTGAAGGCTAAATATGCTCATGACCTAAGAAATGCTTGAGTCTTGACTTCATGATGGTTTTGTTTTCACTTGGGATATAATTTACTACAATATCTCGTATCACTTCTGTTTAAAAGCTACTCATCACTCAGCTGAGGAGTACTCAAACCAAAACAGTCCATCCAGAAAAGCCTTGTGAATTCCAGAAATGTCTGCATACAAATCAGAGCATCACATCCCAGAAGTCAGTCTCTGCTGTGCTGAAGACTAGCTGCATCCCTGCAGTGGCAGTAAATATCTTGTATATCTCTCTCTATATATGATACATGAACCCATAACGAAACATGAGCTTACTTGAGGTGTAAGGATAACTGTGACTATCCTACAAAATCTGTTGCTATCCTGCATTGTTAAAATAGCTGACTTGTATGTCCACATCCAGCATTGCCTGGGCAGAAACGCACGCAGCATTCAGATGGCGTTAGCAGGGTTGCATACGTACCGGCAAAGGCTCAAAGTTGGCATCCACCAGGTGATAGGTCCCTGCCCCAAAGAAAACCTGTCTCATCACCACATCAATCCCCTGCCTGGCCGAAAGCCCGAGTTTGTCCAACCACCTGCCGAAAAATGAGGCAAACAACAGGCAGATGAAATTGCTGACCTCAGCTATACACTGTTGCCTCTCTCCAAGCAGCTCGGGAAGTAGGAAAGCAAGAATTAGGACATGATGCTGACTTCCTTAAAGACACACAACTAATTTCAATTCAATTCTTGCATTAATTACATTAAAAAATACCAGAAGCTGCAGCAGATGCTCCTGAACTGGCCAAGGGCCTGAAGGCTGAGAGAAATCACGACACCAATGACAAGGTTGCCTGCCATTAACAGGCTTTGACTTTCTGACCCACCAAGGCTCTGATGAAAGGATCATCGTGCCTTATAGGCATTGCAACCATGTTTTTGGTGAATTTGCAAAGTGTGAACCACACATTCCCATGCAATTTTATCTCCCTGAATCTACAAACTGATCAAAGTGCTAAAAAAAGCCTGAATTGTTTTATTTCAACAAAATGCTACAACTGGAGTCCTTGGAGAAAATTGTTTTCATGACTAAATTTCCCTTTGGTAAGTTGTTTCATGGTGGTTGAAGGATGACATTGGAAAAGGACAACCACCTTGTGATTGACTTTCCATCCTCACAAAAGGACGGAGTTAGGATTGCAGGTTTGAGGGCAGAAATCCAACTTTGTCACGCTTCTCATCCCCTGTTTCCCATAGGAATCTGCTATTAGCTGGGCCTGCATTGAACCCCAGGCATGGGGGAGGCACACAGGGAGCAGTGGGAAGGTTGCAATCCTCAACCAACCCATTGCCTGCGCTCCCTGGGAAGCCTGAGGGAAACATTTCTCCTGTGGGGTATGTACACAACCTCCTTCAGCTGGTAAAACGTGTAATTTCCCCACACCTGTGACATAGTACTCACATAAAGCCAGCAATGTAAGTGTTAGACAGCCTGGGAGCTCCCCCTCCATAGGCAGAGCTTGTCTCTCCTAGCCAGACCTTCTTGTCGGGCACGGTCCCACCAACAATCTGGCCAGCGTGGTGTAGGGAAGAAGACAAAGAGACAACGGTTATGGTTTTTGGCAACTGAAATAATGGGCAATCAAAATTTTGTGCTTTAGCCAAATACCTATGTACAACATTTGCATTTAAGGCATAACACCAACTGAGGTGGGATGTCACAGAAATTTTGATCAAAAGGACTAGAAGTAGATTTATTTCCCCCCTCTTAAAGAACATAAATCACATCTACACATGTGGTTCTACAAGGCAAACCACTAAAAGCCAGGTCCTATAAGTCCTCTCGTGCCGAGCAGTGGTATACTCTAAGTTTTACTGTTCTCAGGATCTCAAAATACAAAGGAATTGAGGGGAGTATGACAATAAATTAAATCCTTGAGTAATGACTACATTGATAAATGAGAATGTTGTAGGTTTGTGATGTATCTGGCCCCATGTTTACTGCATGGCAAACTACTGGAGCTGATTTGTTATCAGTATTGTTTGGGTTTTTTTTTAATTTACAATGACAGCAGCCCCCAAGCTTTGAGGATCCCCGTTTATTGCTAGTGAGAAACTGTACTTTATGCCGGATTCTCTGCTAACCCCCTGGAAACTGAACATGGGAATGATTGAACAGGACAAGGCACCTCCAGGACTTGGTGTACAGCTGTGGCAAAGGTATCCAGCACTTCAGGGCTCAAGAAATCCTCCCTCGTTGCACTTCGTCCATTCACATAGTAACTGAAAATAAAAAACAAAAAGCCCCACAGTCAAAATTAAAGAAAAATACCACCACTGGTACAAAACACCACCAAAAGTTACTCGATATATTTATCCACAGTACTATTTTTCTGTCCAGTTCTTTTTCTTTTTGTTTTCCAAATGTGTAGGCATGTTGTTTGTATTTAAGGGACTATTGGCTGTAATTACCTCAATGAAGGGAGGATATCACAGAAATTTTGATCAACAGAAGTAGTAGGGTTTTTTTGCATCTATTCATTTATAATGAGGAAAACATCACTGAATAAGAGCCAGCTTCTGTAAGTCATCTCTTGCTGAAGAGTCTGACACTCCTATGTGATTACTTGCTTTACTGTATCAAGTTATATATTAAAAATATCAGATCCCAGCTTCTGTTCCTCTATTGGAGTATTTTGGCCATCTGGAGGAGAACAGGACGGAGCCATCCCTATGGGATGAAGGTTGCCCTCCACCACGAGCAGAGGAGCTTTTAAGTCTGGTTTGTCCAAATAAAGAATGCAAAATTGGGATCCTTGTGGTTTTTGCATTTCATCACGCTATCACTCAGTCTTACCAGAAGCAGCTGAAGTCTTCCAGCCACAACAGGAAGCTAAAACCTGATAATCCTAAATTGGTAAAGAAAATAATGCATGCCCATTTAAAGCAGCCATAGGGCAAGAACAGCTCAGGAAGGGGAGAGGACACGTTCTATGCCTTGCTAGCAGCTCAAAATACATAGATAAGTCATATATGCATACATATATATAATATAAGTGTGTGCATCTTTTTCCCCACTGTTACCTGTCTGCTGCATGTCACCAAGCTGCATTCGATTCCGGAAAGAAAACCACATGGAAATCGCTTTCAAACATGTAGAGTTCATGGCAGGTGCCCTGGGGACAACTTACCCCGCTGCCCACCTGGGCGCTGTAAAACTGCATCTCAGCCGTGGCACAAGAGCGAAGGGCTGGGACTGTGCGGGTGCCGTGGGATCTGAGGGCGAGTGACCCACCCACAGCCTGAACTAACTCACAGAGCAAACGCAGGGGAGCAGGAGAAGCTGCCAGCACTTCTCTGTGGGTAAGGGTCAGCCAGACCTGCAGGGCTTTTTGTTTATATCAAACAGACATAAATAGAGAAAAAAGGCAGCATGTAACGCATCAGCTAACAAGGATTCTGCTGCATTTTTTACAAGGAGATGGGTGCATTTGCCAGCAGGGTCATCAGTGACTCCTTGAATTTGCTTTTAGGGAGCAAAGGTTTCAGTCGAGCAGGTTCAGCCTTTCCAATGCCAAGGAGAGCACCAATGGCAGGGGTACTGACTTCCTTTCAAAGCTCGGCCACCCACGGGTTGTTTAAAACCTTACGTTAAAAAACTTCTGCTCTTGCACAAATTCAGCAGAGGTATCTCTGCCGAGTAAGTCTGAGCAACCTTCTTTTCCTTTTATACGACACCCCCTTCTTCCCAAGGGAAAGTGCATTTTATTTGAAAGGGCTGGCAACTCGGAGCTTTGAAACAACTGGGACTGCTGCTCAGATCTCACTAGGTTTTGGTACATGTTGAAACACGACATGTGGAAAGGCTCAACCGCTGCAGAAACTCTCCTCGTGCAGGGGGGAGCCGTGACCTACCCCCTCGCGCTTTTCTGAGAAATAAAGCTGTCATGCCATCTTTTTCTCCACATCCCACTTCTGTTTTTCTCAGTACACATATTTAGCAAGCAAAATGACCATCTTGCACGTGTTGCATTCCCTGCTGCTCTGCCTACGTTAACCCCCGCCACTGCTTTTGGGTCTCTGCACCAAGTAGCTTCTTTGGAGACCTGCATTTCTGTAATGCTCAACTCATCTCTTATTCTGAGTAGAGGAGTTTGCAGCGAGGCACCCAAGGACTGCTAAAAAGAAGTATTTCGCCCCCTCCTTCCTGATCAAATTGACATTTTGTAAAGAAAACAGGCAATAAGCAAAGTAACAAAGGTATCTGAGCAATACTTACTGGTGCCACGTGACAGAGTCAATCACCTTCCCTCCCGATTTCAGGAAGCTGCAACCAGAGGGGATGCAGTGGAGAGTGGGGCGTTAGCGGGTACCGGTGATGGGTCACGGCCCCCCATGAGCGAGATGCCATGCACAGCCCTCCCCTCTCCCCCCGGCTGGCGGCAGCGATGGTGAACCGCTTCGGAGCCGCGCTTGTGATGGCTTTTAAACAGGCTTTGGGCAGCCTGGGTGCCTCAGCGGATTGCTGGAGGGGTGAATTAATGCTTGTGTAACATACAGAGATTTCTAAGGGGAAAAGCCCTCGTTAACACAGCGCTAGAGCCAGCGGGCAGTTGAAAGGAGGGTGGATCACTGAAGTGCTGCTAGCGTTTTAGTTTCAGCTGGCTGAGTATTTAAGCCTTGAGCTCATGCATGTAAGATTTCAGTCATCCCCAGTCAAGGAAGATTATTTTCCATGTTTCTAATTTAAAGAAAAATGTAGGAAATCAGTTCTCAACTAGACTGGATATATCCATTTGTACATCCTTACTATTGATTTGGAGCAGGAAATCCTTAAACCCCTGTCCAGATGCCTCCTCGTGCCCCCTGCACCTGGGTGCAGCCAGCGCTATCCACACCTGCCCACCCCAGGGGGTGCTGCCCGGGCCCCACAGCCCTACCTTCTCAGCAGTCTCTGTGTGTGCTTTCGGGGCTGCCCAGTGTCGGGACCGTAGAGCTTTGCGTGCCGGTAGAGGGTATAGTTACTCAGAAGTTGGCGTAAGTGGATAAAATCTTGCCCCAACTGGAATCCGTCGATGTAGATGCCAGATTTCTTCCTGAAGCTATTGGGCTCTGGAGAAGACACATGTGCATCAGCACCTTACTCTAGTTTTGGGGCACAATATAAGGCAGCTCGTTCCCCTATGGCTTCACATGATCTGGCATGGTATGGGTGAGATATTTGAAGGTGATGAGGATGAAACCAAAAGCCCAGGTGATGCAGTCTGCTCCTTTCAAGCACTCTGTCCCAGCCAGTTCCCATAGGTGACATCCTGCACCTCGCAGGACATCGCTCACCTCATCTCAGAGCCTTGGTAGGAGCAGCAAAATCATCTCAATTTGCTCATTCGTTGGGCCTTCTGTGAAATCCTCCTCGCAAATTAAGACCTTAATATTTCCCAATAAAACATCACCTTGCATTTATGGGCCGTCATCCAAAACATCCAAAATTACCAGCCCATACCCTGCAGTGGTACCTTTCCAGGTGACCGCAGGCCTGGCCCACAACCAGGCTTCGCACTTACCGTTCCCGAGCTCCCAGGAGATGTTGTACCCCTGTGAAGCGCAGTAGTCCAGCAGTGCCCGAGCGTTCGAGCTGTCCCACTGCAAGCCATCTTTCCGCAGCAAGGCGTTGAGCCCAAAGATCAGGTGAAACCCTGAGCAGTTTGCAAAGCTGTAGAGAATATCCAGCGTATTTCCTGTGCGGAGGAGAAAGAGGGGATGTTTATCTCAAGGTTACGGCATGCTAGTTGAACTCCAGCCAAGTGACGATCTTTACTGCCTGTATTTATTTAGCGTGGTGCTGCAGATGTGCCAAGCTCTCCCAGCTGGAAAAAAGAGCCCAGACCTTACTACCCACCATCCTGCAAGGGGCTGAGATCCACCTAACTCCTGCAGCAGCTGAATTCTATTAAATACGAGGTGGCAGACATTAGAAAAAGATTTCTTAGAAGCATCTTCATTTTCAGCGGTTTCAGCTCCTAACAGCCTACAACCCTTTTACCACGGCGCAGAGATTTGCAGCCCCCTGGTTATAAATCCTAGCAGAAAAATCCATTGAAGTCTTACTTGTAATGGTGGTGTTTTTGTGCTTTTTTCGGTTATGCTCTGCAAGAATCAACTTCTCCTGGCGGGGCCACTGGGCCAGCAGTAGCTTCTCAACAGCAGCAAATGCAGGCTTC